GGGTTCGATGTGTACACAGATACCGAATCGTCACGATGCGCCGCCGTAGAAGAAGACGATCCAGATTCGCGAGATTCTGGAGTATCGATGGGCGATTCACGAGATAGCGAGAATCCCTCTGGCACGACACAGTTCACCTTTTCGCAGAGCTCACAGACAAGTTGCAGTGACGACAATTCCAGGCAAATACCGAAACAAAATGTGCGCACAATGAGATCTTTTTGCCGACATTTTTCTTTGATTGCTTGAACATATGAATCCTTTTTATGTAGTGAATGGGATTGCGTTATTCCGCAAACATTTTCTACCCTAATTTCTTATATAATTTATCAAAGTCTCTTGGCAATCGTCATTTCATTGCCTTGAAACAGTCAATTGAAAGTGGTTTAACTTTTTCATGAAACAGTTCAAGAGGAAATTAACTGAAAGACATGCAATTGAACAATTTGTTTTTAGAGTTTGATTGGGCTTGATGAGGAGATGGAAGATCTTGTGCTGAATGAGTTAATTGCCGAATTCAATGAGAATGAAACGTTGGTTGAAGAAAAATTGAAGATGCTCTCGTATGATCAAAACACTAAACTATCAAACAACCAACTGCAATTCTCATCTTGTTCGGCAACACGAAGGATGTTCGGTGAAATTACAAATAGGTAAGTTCGCAGATAATATCTAGGAGAAACATTGCGGCTCATCCCGGACAACGATTGCGGCTCATCGCAGTTGCTGGATATCGGTCAAAGTATCCAATTTTCTGATTTTTTTCATCACTTCATTGGATCAGCTGAACCGCATAAACTATTGAGCATTACTTTTCATCTCATTTAAAGGCATTTAAAAGGACAAGAATAAAGAAACGAATCAATGAAACATATTGAAATTATGTTCATTCAGGAGAATAAAAATTGATCANTCATCGTTTCCTCCCAATCGACTCGAGGAGAACACCCGACGATTCAGTCGACAATTGTCGTGTCTTCAAAATGGCACGACCACGAAAACAACAATTGCTCGAAAACGCACCAACATGTACAATGACGAAAATGAAACTCACCATATCGCTCGGAAACGATCGAATGTTACCTCAGCTCCTCAACAAAAAGTGAGAACTGTTCGAATTCGATGACTAGAAGAGTAAGCAGGCCCAAGAGAACCCACATCCAAAATAAACAATTGAATAGAACGTTGATTATCGCCACTGATTATCTTCAGAAACCTAACACTCAAAAACCATCCGCAAAATTTCTCGATATTCTCTAAAACGTTTCATTTCAAATTTATCATCCGTACTGAATCCATTTTCGAAATATTTATCTTTGAAATGTTATGAACTCATTTGGTTGCTAATTATCTGAACCTGGAATTATTTTGAGTACACAGAAAGAAGAGCAAACAATTGAAATTTTTAGATCATCAATGAATTTTCGGAGGAGTCAACGAGTGTAAAGGTTGGTGTGAATGTTCGGAAATCACTGAAATCGCTGTTCTCGCGAACGATGTCATCGAGCGTGTTGGAACGAGGCGAATATGCTCACATCGATATTGCGCAACTGCCGAAAATGCTTCATGTTGTAAGTAGGCAGCGATTTTTTTGAGATACATTATTTAAGATTTCAATTTTCTGAATTTTGTCAAGATGATCCTTCCAAACTGCATTTGCGACAGACTTATGTCTAGCAAGAATTCATTTCGTGCTAAAGTTTTTCCGACTTAACGATTCATTTAGTCAACTGTGCAGGATTAGGTTCATTTGATCAACAGTCAGTCATAACAAGCGACTTAGTGTTCTTCACGGCAACAATGAGCAATTTCTCAGTGGATGTATCAAATGAGATTTTCGAGTGATAAAATATGCTCAGTCCATGGCCGTTGAGTGATGATAGATTCGTGATGTTTCAGGAATATTCTCTGAAAACGGTTTCACGACCTCAAATCGATTCGGTTGCCTTCAGAAGCATCGACGGTGGCGTTTTGGCGGATTTGTTGTGTTCAATGAGCATTGAGGAATTCCTGAAGAAATATACTCTGGTTGATTGTAGATATCCGTACGAGTACAACGGTGGACATGTAAAAGTGAGTACTAATGAGTTTGACTGCCTGCGAGCTAGATAAATCTTAGCACTCCTAATGATCATTCATTTACTAATCGTTTCAGTGGGTGTTTCTATCTGCGTGATCGTTGTTTAAATTACCATATAGTATCATCACCAAGTATTCTTACAATTAGTTTTTTAAGTCCTTAAGAAATGACAGGTTTTTTTAGATTTCCAGTAAATTGGTAAACTTCATAACTATTTGCCTTGTCGTAAATTCTACGGTTTGGAATAACGTTCGCTGATTTCAGGGTGCGGTGAATATGTACGATCCGTCGATGGTTGAAGAGCTGTTTTATCCGAAATGTTTGGATCGATTCCATGAAATGCGTTCCCGGATTCCAATCTTCTACTGTGAATTCTCACAGAAACGAGGGCCAACAATGTAAGAGAGCGATTTAATTCTTTGTCAAATTTGATATTAAGTTCACATAGCGGTTTTCAAGTTTAACACGTCTAAAGTTGCCTTTGATAGACCCATGAAGATTGTTTCGTAATTTTAGGGCAGCCGCCTTACGGCAGTTTGATCGAAAACGCAACGAAGCACGATATCCAGAGGTTGACTACAAGGAAATTTATCTGCTCGATCGTGGCTATAAGAAGTTCTATGAAGCTGGCCTTTATATGGTCAGTTTTGATTAATAAAACTTAAACATATCATTTGCATTTCGATCGTCTTGAATTGTTAACTCTATTTTTAAAAGAATTCTTCGTGTATTACTGCTGCTTTTCTCAACTGAAAAACCTGTCAGAAGTTTCTGATTTATATCCGTATACAAAATCATCTTCCGGTGATCGTTGATGGTGAATAGAATATTCGGAAAGTCATTTGGTCTGGTCAAGAAAAAGCCGAAGTCAAATTTGAGTTGATCACTAGTTTTGCTTTTTACATTTCATTAATCATTTCTTTCAGCAACTCTGTGAGCCACAATCCTATGTGAGCATGTTAGCCTCGCCGCATAAGGATGACTTG